AGAGCTCTGGCCCCCTGTGTGTGTGATTGCTGTGACGACCCACCCCCCCCCCGGTATCATGGGATGGGTGCTAGAGAGCACCCCACGGCCCCCTGGCTGCTACATGTTGCCCTGGGGCCCCACCTGCTGCATTTTAGTCACAGAATAACTGTGCCACCCCCCCCCCAGTACATCGGGGCAGCCTCTCGCCAACCCCTCCTCCCCCGGTACAGGGGGTGTATCTAGGTAAAGGGCTGCGGGGATCGTACCAGGATGCAAACCAGCTAGTGCCCAGGGCAGCGGAGCTGGGGGGATGGGGGCTCTGCTACCCAGCCTGGGGCTTGGCCTGTCTGCGCAGTGCAGGCGGCCGGGTGCCCGTTCCTCGCGGCAGAGCCTGAGCCAGCCAAGAAGAGACCCGCAGCCCCTCGCTCAAAATCTCCTACATGCTTTATTGGATTGAAAACAGTTTTATGAAATGACAAAACAAATCAGACTTGGCAGATGCATCACAATCGCTGCTTTATAAATGCCACCGCCTTCTCCAGCAAGCATCGGCGCGGGGCGCCAGGCCCAGCTGGGGCACCCCTGCCCACGGGCCGTGCTTAGGGCAGGGAGGAAGCGGCGCACACCTGGGCCTGCTGGGGGGCTGTAAGACACCCAGGCCTAGGCTACACACCTCCCCGGGGCCCTTCCCACCCTGCTCTGGAACCACTGCCGGGAGGGAGGTGGGCGCTGCTGCCAGGCAAGGCCCCGAGGCTGCTCTCAGCGGGGTGTGCTGAGCTGGTCTGAAACTGCCCAGTGCAATCCAAGCTGCGTGGCTCGGGACCAGCCCTAGGCTGGCAGGAGCCGGCGGCCGGTGTAATTCCCATCCCGGGCTGTCAGGGAAGGGCACATGACCCAGGGCTACCTGGCACGCGCTGGCAGCCGCCGCCCCTCCAGCAGGACGTCTCGCAGGCCAGACAGGTGGCCAGCAGCAGCCAGGGGGGCAGGAGCGTGAGGAATTGCAGGCACTTAAGCAATGTAGAGGATTTTTCACTTATCTCAAAGCAACAATGTAATCATTTCGCTACCGGCTCTAAAACTCCTCCTTAGCCCTTCCTGGAGACGTGACATCCAGTATCTTCCACCAGCTACAAGCAAGGGCCCCAGCCAGCCCCCCTCCCTCCTCAGGGATCTTTGCAGCCAGCCCTGCTCCCCCCGAGAACACAGGATTCCTCCCCACTACCGCAGGCAGAACGCCAGGCCCCGCGCCACGGGGCTCCTTGGTGGGTGCCCAAAGCCTGGGCGCTCCCGCACGGGGAGGGATTGGGCGTGGGGGGCAGCGCCCAGGGCGGGCGGGGAGGGCTGGGTGCGCTCCTTCAAGTGAAGGTTGCAGACAGGCTCCAGCCGGCCGCGTGGAGGTAGCAATTGGTCACAGACCCTGCTCTCGCTGGGGGCGCTGCGGGGCTCTCAGCTGCTGGCCCTGCCGGCCTGGGTCTAGTCTGAACAGGGAGCAGCGCTGCAGAGGGGAACCCCCCTGGGCCAAGGCCAATTGCTCCTCCCTGCAAAACGTTCCTGACAGGCCGTGCTGGCCGCAGCAGGTGGCCCACCAGCCGAGAGCCGGCTCTGGTTCTCCCCAGCTCCTCATCCTCCCCCTGCTCCTCCCGCTGCAGCAGTCCAGCCCCGAGGGGCAGACACTGGCTGCCTGAAGCTGCCCTGGGACGTAAGAACTCCTCACTCCCCGGGAGTCCCTGCTCAGAAACCAGGAGCCGCGAGCCCCAAGCCTGGCATTAGCTCCCGCCGTAGCACCCCCCCAGCCATCGCAGCAGGGAGGACGCCGGAGGAACCCCCCAGGGGCATTAGAACCACCCCCGGGGGCAGAACCGCCGCGTCCCTCCTCGGCTGGCTGCTGGAACTGGACACGGCCTGGCACAGCAGAGCTGACTCCTCTTCCAGCCATTTCAGCCCCTCCCTCAGGTATCCTGCCCCTGAGGGGAATTCTCATTCCCCAACCCCGCTGGGTCCAGGCCCCGGGAACGGCCCTGATCTGCAGCCCAGCCTCTGGCCCTGATCCTGGCCCGACTCACCCAGGCAGCTCAATGAAGGTGCCCGGCTGTCCCCAAATGGCTTGCGGCCCTTCAGCCTGGTGGGAGCTGCTCTGGGGTTCGCAGCACCTGCCTCCCCCACACCCGACTGCCTTTGCCCAGGGCCTGGCCCTGGCCGAGGGAAGCTCGCGCTGCCGAGGCTGGGAAGGCTGAGACAGGGCAGGGCCTGCTGGGGGATCCTCACGGAGCAGGCCCTGCTTCAGAAACAAACCCAGCAGGCTGCAGCCAGCTAAAGAAACAAACACTGCCTAGAATAGACTTGGCCACGGTTCCTGAATGCAGCACCAGCGGCCAGGCCCTGCTCTCTCCCCACAAAGCCCCGGCCCCGCGAGCTGGCACGCGCCTTCTGCTTTCCCCTGCCAAAACCGCAGAAGCCCCATCCTCTCTCCCCAGTCACCCCAGCCACGGGGCGCCC